CTATGGCTGTTTAGCTTAGCCAGTCGTTTTGGGACCTACACAGTTGTTGGTTGAATGAACCAAAGATGGTTGAACATAAAATTTCTAGATGATCATCGTACACACGTGATAGAGATTATTCATAGAGTTTTGGTTTGATTTGTAATAAAAAATTAGGGTTTTGTGCTTTAAGTTGAATAAGAACTGAGCAAAATAAATAATTACCTTAAAGTGAGGGTCATCAGTGACTGCCACTGTCTAAGAAAGTTATGCGCTACACTGCATTTCCAGAAGTTATGCGATTTCTTCATTCCACCACTGTTTACCCTGAAACTTCAGATTATACAGCGGTTTCATGAAGCCCTTTAAACATCAGCACAGAAGAAAAGCCAAGCGCCCCGCCTTAAAAACCTGGTTAGTGCTAGTGCATGTGGAGTCATTTCGTTGTCTGAAAGAAAACCAAAGATCAGTTATTTCTACATATAGTCGATGGGAACTGCATCGCCTTATTCAAACTATACGCTTTTGAATGATGGATCCGTTCCGCTTAAAGGAATTTTATTAGCACTTCTGGTGCCATTCTGCATCGGGTAGACAACAGTTTGGCAGATATCACATAGTCAGTATAAAGTGAATATAGGTATATTGAGGTGCCGCCATTCAACCAGGCTAAAGTTTCACCCCTGCCATATAAAGAAAGTGAACATTTAACACCCACATTTTTGTTCCATCGAAAATGCCGGTCATTTGCATTTCAAATTGTCTATATATGAGTGGTTGACCAATCAGCGAACTGGAAAAAAGAAGATTTGATTAGTATATAGTCATCTGGCCGTTGCGTAGCTAAATGTAAATTACGGTTGTGCAGTTTTCCTGGATTCCGGTTTTTGCTGTGTTACAAATCGACTGTCATCGGAAACGGGGCAAAAATCTGAAATTGCAAAGTAGGTCCATGTGATCAGTCGTCGAGGTTGGAAGAAAGCGTCAAGTCCATGCAACAGACTTAACGTTCATTTCGTTTTTGGTCTGTACAGTACAATTTTCTTATGATAATACTCACTTTTCGCGAACTGTGTCCAATAATTTGCAGTATCATTTATATGGCCATGTAATTTGGCATGCACTGTGCATTTTTCGGATTACAGTATGTTGTTTACAGCCCTGCAGAAAATGCCGCACTTGTAAAACTCGAAAGACGGCGAGAGGTCACGAAGGTCACTCAAATCATTGAATTCATGATCAATGGTGCCCTACATCGACTTAATTGCATGAAGTTTATTTCTGCAATAAATTGTAACACGCGAAACGATACGTATGTCCCCCGAAATGGAAGGTTCAACAACTGCTTCTTGCGAATCCGACCGGCAGAAGGCCCAGGGAACGGGCAAAATTAACCTAGTAAAAATATATGGAATGAGTCTGCTCCAAACTCAAGTTGTCTTCTGTTGCCGCGCAAACTACGGCACAGCATCGGGAACGTTGGAAGCTCTCTCTCTCTCTCTGACGAGTCTGCCTCCGTGAAAGAGAAACGGCAATGGAAGATGAAGATCAAGATGAACTTATACGTTTAACGATCGAAATTACTCTCTTCTACAAGGCACAACTCGATTGTACAATTCATTAGTCTGTGCAGGGGACAAGATTCTATCCTGGATGAGAAATATTAAGATTTCTTTACTGTGATTTGTGCCATCGTGCCATTCGTCTGTGGAAATGGTACTGGCTTAGTCTCGACCGTGCTTCGATGTTTTGTGTCCATCGCTCTCAACCAAATGGACGGGTTAAATTACACAAACTAGGCAGCTCTTTTCGGATTATAGCATCATTCCGCTTGTCTGCATCCATGAAGTCAGCTAGTACCATTCCTTCATGTGAAAGCGGTCCTAAAGACTTTTAAGTACGTGCATGAAGGCGGAATGAGTTTCAGTGAGAAGTCACAGCAAATTGAATAGGTGATTATTACGATTTATTTCGCCGTCTAGTCTGTTCAAAAACAATGAAACAGTATTTTGGATTGATTGTGTTCCTAAGCGATCTGGGGAAGCCCAGGATTTAAATTTCACTTCAAGCATGGGATGAACCATGACTGTCACAACCCAATATTCGATTTCAGGGGGTCAAATGTTTAACCCGACTTCATCGTACTATGCAAACAAGTGCCTCATATTATAATTTCGTTCAGTTACCTCTAAGTCATGTTCGTTCGAAATCGACGAATGATCATATTATGCAAATGAATCTAACGAGAACTTGTGTATCGTGATAATTCGCACTTGCTGCGACTACGCACATTTCTAACAGACCTGTTTCGCTGCGCTGTTTCCTACCTCGGATGGTGAGGAAGTAAGTTAAAAAATTTTGCACGCGTTTATCAACCTGTTATGCCATTGTTGCTTATTGTGATCATCACCTCATGAACCACTTGCATTTGCAGACCGTCTTGTATTATGCCCTGTATGTTTTGCTTTCGAGCGCATTTGCTATTTGATAGTACTCGAAGCATTGTAATAAGAGCAATTTCTAAGTCAGCTTCGTCCTGTGCCTGTGTGTGTCTTAGTTCTGTAAGCGATGGTTTTGAGATTCGTTCGTTTGTGATGTACACCTAGTGTCTGATGAAAGTGGCACCAGTGAAATAGGTATGTATATACAGTCGAAAACTGGTGTGAATCTACTTTGTCATGTCCTTGAAATTTGCCTTTTGTGCATACCGATATTAAATGACTCTCCAGCTCATTTATGAGATTTTTCCTTTGATACATCTACTTAGAGCAGTGTTCTGCCCGCTTCCAGCAGTATTTCCTGTCGCATATGAACATATTCCTCCTATATCGTTCAACGACAGCGTTATCTCCTGAAAAATCACTACCAAAGTGCAAAACAAGCCTCTGTCCAGTAGAAATTATGCGAGAACCATCCCAGTCCTATTAAATACCACGAAATGAGGATACGCAAAAATGGCATTTTAAGCCTTTAGGGTTAAAGAACAGCACTCTGATGCCAAGTAAGCTGGTTGAATTGTTCTGTTTCTGTTTTGTTTAATGTTCTACTAGTGACGAATAGCTGAGTGTAAACAACTGGTTCAGGCCGACTGCAAGTCATTATATTAATAATTTTCCATATTATTCTGCATATATCCAAAACATCAGCTCTCTGGCAACTTTAAGTAGAGTAATTGTATAGTACAGGTAATTCAGGCTCGTCTTCATTGATTTTGGAAAACGGCCATATGCAGAGCTTCCTTCACTTTCTCCATCCAATTCGACATGCTGGTATGGCAGCATCGATAATTTCAGCTGTCTTGTTCTTGCGTTCGTGCACGTCTGAATGAATGTCTCGACGACTGTGATGAACGGATCAATCGTG